TCACCTGAGGGTGGAATTGAATCTGGGTCCCTGGTGCTGTGAGGCAGCAATCAGTAGGCTGGTAAAAGAAAAGCTTTCATCTTTATAGCAATGATTGTAACTTCAGAATACCCCAAAGGCAATTAATTTCTTTAAAAAGACAAAAGGCAGCTGGTAGTGGTGAGAGTTTGCCTCGAACATGGTGTTTTACCTGATGCGGCAATTCTTATGTTATCTGCCATAACATAAGAAACCAACTGTGCATATTGTGGTATTGAAGTATCCATCAGACTTTTAAGACTAACTGTTATGCTCAAACGTTACATTCCTCAGGCACATAGGTTTCTGGGTTAATATTAAGCAATGGCATTACAACACAGAAACAGGCTTCCTGTAGAGTGTCATGCCTCAATGATCTGAGGTAAGATGGAGCATGAGATCTTGATACCCTTAGGCCACATGCTGTAATAAAGTGATGATATCATGATCATGTATCTTAAAGGTATGTATCTTAAAATATTTTCTGAAGAAGGGTCCTGACCCGAAACGTCAACTTTCCTGTTCCTCTGATGCTGCCTGGCCTGCTGTATTCCTCCAGCTCCACACTGTATTGTCTCTAACTTCAGCATCTTCAGTTCTTGCGATCTCTGTGTGTCATCAGACTGCTGTTTAAATGATTAACCTGCTTTTGCTCTTCAGAGATGCTGATGGGCCTGTTATGCCTTTTCAACATTTCTGTTCCGGTAATATCTAAATGTTAATATGATTTTAGATTAAGCTTTTGTTCTTGGATTAGAAGCATGTGTTTGTCTTAATTTCTGTTAATTCACTACCCAAGCATTTAGAAATGGTCATGGTTTAACGTTCCAAGGGCCATGTAATTCGTTGATGAACTGTTGCAAGCTGCATAGTGTTGCTATGGTTTGATTTCAAAGGAAGAGGAACGAGGGCTTTAGTAAATGATTTACCATTGCCAATTTAACAGTACCGACCGAAGGCAAATTTCAACACCCAAAATTATGAACTTGCAGATAAATATGTCTGAAAGTAAGGGGTGTATACAGTTTCTAAGAGCTCTAAAGCTCCACTTCAGCAAATGTTCATCCTGAGACTGGGTGATTGCTTCAGCTTCCATTCAGGAGAAAAAAATTCAAACTGACATTCCAATGTAATGCTGCTGAAGCTGAGGAACAGCCTCATCATTCAAGGTGCTGTGCTTCAGATGACAAATTCAGTCAAGATCCTGAAAGACTGCTAGTTTAGATGGATGGTAACTATCCCACACCATGACTTGACAAAGTAGTGAGTTCTCACCATGTCCTTATCTCATGTGTAACATCATCAGAAACAGATCCACTTGATCATTTATCATTTCTGGGATTATCTTATGTACAAACTTTGATTTGATTTTTTATTATTATTATGACCTGTTATTAGATTTCTGAATTGACCTCTCAAATTTCAAATTTAATGTTGACCTCACACTTTGTATCCCTCACTTTGTATCTTAAATAAGGGTAATGGAACAAAGTGCAACCCGCCTGTACTGCATGCAAAACAGAACTTTTCACTGTACCTAGGTACATGTGACAATAATAAATCAAATCAAAAAAATTTAAAATGGTTTTTGGGTTTGTTTACATAACAGCATTTGCATTTTATAGTTTATTGAATGTGAGCAGCTTTTGATCATTTCTAGGATATTAGGTAAATTTGTGATTGTTCTTGAAGGTGCAACTCTCCAAAAACTGCTAGAGACTAGGTCTGTGCAAGTGGTAAGGGAGCCAGAGAGAAATACCTGCTTAACTTTGTTCTCCCCAATATGTCGCAGATTCATCTGTCAGTGACAGTGTTATTAGGGGTGACCATGACACAGTTGTTGTGAATGAAGTCTCCTTTACATTGAGGATAAATTGTGTGGCACTACCATTATGATAGATTACCACAGATTTAGGTAGATTTGATTCAACCACAACCTATAAACCTCTAACCTTGGCACATCCCCCACTCTACTATTACCATCAAACCAGGAGATTAACCTTGGTTCAAAGAAGTATGCCGGAAGACAACACCAGACATGCCTAAAACTCAGGTGTCACCCTGGTGAAGTTTCAATGTAAAGGACTAATTGTATTCCAAAACAATGGAAGCAACATGCGACAGACAAGGCAAAACAATCCCACAACCAACAAATCTGATGTAAGCTCTGCAATCCTGCCACATCCAGTCATGTATGATGATAGACAAAAACAACTACTGGGAAGAGGATGCTCCACAAATATCCCTATCCTCAACAATGAAAGAGCCCAGCTTCTCAGCATAAAAACAAGACTGATGTATTTCCATCCGTCTTCAGCCAGAAGTGCCAAGTTGATAATTAATCTCAGCCATCTACTGAGGTCAACTGTTAATCTTCAACCAACTTGATTTACTACCAAGAAATGCTGAAGATGCTGGATACAGCAAAGGCTGCAGGCTTACACAACAAGCTGGGCATAGTACTAAAGATATTGTGCTTCAGAACTAGCCATGCTCCAAACGAATTGTTGAAGTGGAAAATTGCCTAGGTAAGTCCTGTCCACAATAAACAGGAAATATCCAACCTAGTCAATTACCACCCCACCAGTCTGCCCTCAGTCATCAATAATGGAAGAAGGTGAGTGTTATTAAGGAGCACTTGCTCTGCAATATCCTGCTTACTGACCATTAGTTTGGGCTCTGCCATACTATTTAGCTCCTGACCTAATTACATTGTTGGTCCGTAAATGGAGAAGAGAGCTGCACTCCAGAGGTGTGGTGAGAGTGATTATTCTTGACATTAAGGCCACATTTGAGTACGGTGTCAAGTCACTTTAACAAAACTGGAATCAATGGAAATCAGGAGGAAAGGGCTCCCCTGGTTTGAATCATACCTGGCACACAAAAAGATGGCTATGGTTGTTGGAGGGCATATCATCTTAGTCCAGGTCAGCACTGGAGGATTTTCTCCGAATAGATTTAAAAAAAAAAATCAAGCTGGTCAGAGACATTATTGCACATGTCTGGAGCAGATGGGTCTTGAACCTTGGTTTCCTGGCTCAGAGATAGGGACACTACAACTGTACCACAAAAGCCCCAAACAGTTTCTCAGGGTAGTGTCCTAGACACAACCATTTTCAGCTGCTTCATCAGTGACCTTCCCTTCATCATGGGGTCAGAAGTGGGAATATTTAATTGTGTTTGCGTAATGTTCAATGCTATTTCCAGCTCAAGTACTGAACCAGCAAGACCTGGACTAATCCAGGCTTGGAGTGACATTTGTGTCATTTAAGTCACACATAATGTTTACACAATACAGGGGAGAATCCAACCATCATCAATAGACATCCAGTGACATTACCATCACTGAATCTTCACTTAATTAATACCGCGGGGATTACACTTGGCCAGAACCTGAACTGGATCAGCCACATCAACATTGTGGCTACCAGACCAGATCAGAGGTGAGGAATTCTGCAGTAATGCACCTCATGTTTCTCCAATGCCTGCCTCTCCATCACCTATATACAAAGGCACAAGTTAGGAATCTGTTGGAATACAGTTCATTTGCCTGGCTGGGTGGAGCTCTAACACTCAAGAAGCTGAACAACATCCAGGACAAAGCAGTCTGCTTAATCAGCATCCCATCCATTTCCTTCAACATTCACTCTCTATGCATGAGATAGCAGCAACTGTGTACCATCCAAAAGACACATTTCTGAGAAGTGAACCTGAAACCTTAACTTTGTTTTCTGTCCACAGATGCTGTGTCAGCCTTGCTGAGTTTTCCCAGCAATTTCTGTTTTTGTTTTTGATTTCCAGCAAATTTACCAAAGTTCCTTAGACTTCCCATTCCGAACCTGAGTCCTCTCCCAACCAGAAAGACAAGGGCAGCAGATACATGGGAACTGCAAGTTCCTCTAAGTCACACACATCACCCTGACTTGAAACTGTATCAGCTCACTGTGGGTGAATCAAAACCAAAGGGAGCCCAGTGGCACCATTATAACGGGGCGGTCGCTGACATCCCTGTCTGTGGTTCCTGCCCAGCAGGCAGTGCTCATTACAGGGGCACAAGTGCGCCTCCTGACGGAGGTTTCCAATCCCGTTCGTCAGCGCAACACAGTGAATGGGGAAAAAAAAGCCGAATGCTATAAATCAGGAACAAAAACAGAAGTAGCTGGAAAAGCTCAGCGGGTCTGGCAGCATCTGTGTAGGGAAAAAAAAAATCAGAGTTAACGTTTCGGGTCCGGGTTCTGAGGAAGGGTTACTGGACCCGAAACGTTAACTCTGATTTTTTTTCCTTCACAGATGCTGCCAGACCTGCTGAGCTTTTCCAGCAATTTCTCTTTTTGAGAGTGAATGGAAAGTCATTTTCAATTACAGTCGATTCCAGCAATCCGAGTGCAAACGCTGAATGTTTGCAACTAGCAAGCGGTTAAATACTAAAGTGGAATGTTTAAACAGCTTGCTCCGCTGTTGTGATATCCATTACGCTCCCTCTCAACATGTAGTTTGGGATTTTACCAGATTTTAAATTTAAAAATAAATGAAAAGATAACTTTTCTCCCACATTTCACTTGTGACGTGATTCCAAAATTAGTTGCCGAATTTGAGTTTCTCAGAGGAGAAATGACCCAGAAGAGCCAGATTTCAGCGGAAAACACGTTCAAACAGTTTATTATTATGAAAAGTAGACTGTCATTTTATGATGTGCAGCAACACAGAACGTACAAAGGTACAGGGAATAACTGGCGCTTCAAACTTCCCAAGGAACAAGAAAGCAGGGACTGAAGGAGGTGAATGGGAGGAGAAGGAGGGAGTTAGCGAGGAACCTGCCGCCTGTAGGCTGTCTGTGCTGGAAAGCCTGGGGAGGGGGACTGTACGGTTATGTCCCGGTCTTGACTGACACTGGGGAGGGGCGGGGATATCCTGCAGGCTGACTCTGACAGCAAAAGCTAGCCACACGGGGTCGTGCCTCTTTAAATCGGTGTCAAAGCCGATTCCAGCTGATCTCTCCCACGTGATTCCCCCCTCTACACCGTCTGTTCCCTGAGCTTGGTGCTTACCAGCGTGTTCTCCCTCTGGATGGCCGTGTGTTTGCACTCAGCTCGGAGTTTGCTGCTGGATCCTAATGCCTGACCCCCTCGCTCCGGCTCTCTGTATGCAGACTTTCAGCAGAGCAGCAGCTGCCCGCCTGTTTGTTTTTTTTGTATTGCAGACTTTGGGGCTAATGGGTTTCTGTCTAAGCCGAGTGGCTGGGGCGCCTGAGAAGAAACAATAATGGAACAGAAGTAGTTTCCTCCTCACCCTCAACCCCCTTTTCTCTCTTCAAAAATCAACCCTCCTCTCCCTGCCTCCCCATCGAAACAAAAAAAAAATCTTAACACGTCAGTCAGACGGAAGATGCAGAAAAGTATCAGGTTGAATGAGGGGCACGCTGTGTATTTAGCTCTGGTTGCGCGGAAGGAGGGGACGAAACGCGGCTACCTGAGCAAGAAAACAGCGGAGAACAGCAAGTGGCACGACAAGTGGTTCGCCCTCTACCAGAATGTGCTGTTCTACTTTGAGAACGAGCAGAGCAGCAAACCCTCGGGGATTTATCTGATCGAAGGCTGCACTTGCGAGAGGGTCCCGTCCCCCAAGCCACCGCCAATGGGCAAGGAGACGCTGGAGAAACAGGTAATGATGAGACCGTGAGGTGGAAATCCCACGTGGAAATTCTGCAGCTTCAGATATCTTGCCTCTATCTGTCAGTGTGGCTCAGTAACAAGCCTGGCTTGTCTATCAATTCTTCACTTTTTTTTGCAATTGTCACTCGTGAAGTGGAAATTTGACAATTCGAGTCATTTGCTGTGATTAAAAGTACCAATAAAGGTGTCATCGCTAAGTAAAACTCACGTGACTATATTAATACGATCTAGACCCTCCCTGTTATAGTCTTGGAAAGAGTATTAAGGCTGGCGTGTAACGCGGGTAGACCTTGCTGTAACTATGCTGCCTGTTGCTATCTCGGTAGAATCGCTGCCTTGCTGCAGGTTCGGTTACAGTACATTTGAAAAGCCGCACCCGAAACAACTTTTTTGCCGCTTATTGTCGATAAGACGAAGCGAGCACCTCCCGGGGATTAAACATTACCACCGTTTGAGAAAGCGCGCCCACGATGAGTTAAAACGGCGACATTGAATGAACAGCACATGCTTGAAGTTGACATGGCTAAGTAGTCAGCTACACTTCATTCTGAATCCTGGCGCTTTAAATATCGAATGCACGGTGAAAGTATGATGTTCCTTTAGGAATATAACTTTGCTGCTTGCAGGATTCATACTGGCCCAGACTACGCTTGCATTTTAAACAGGGCTAATACGAGACAAGATTCCAAGCGTTTCGTCCTGTAGTCATCAGAACGAGGACGCAAGAAACTGACTTTGGGGGAAAAAAGGGACAGCAAATAGCACCTTACTCCAGTATAAGTATAATACGTAATAGTTTCCTCTTTTCCAATTCTTTCTTTCTTGCACGGCATTTTAAAGGAAGACAGTTTGGAAAGATCAATAAACATACACGTGAGACAGTCTCTTGGGAGGGGGGGAATAGTGGTTAACTTATTCCGTTTGTGAAACAAAATCGTTCAAGAATTGCTTTTCTTTTAAAATATTTACTTTAATTCCCTTTTGCCACTTCTGGTGACACTTGTTTCCCAAACAGATTGGAAATAAGGCTCACTCGGTTTCTTCTTCCTCAACTAATACAGAATGTTAATTCAGCGTGAAATCCAATTCTCTCGCGAAACATTTTTGTGACAATTTGTGTTAGCGTTGGAAACAGATAATACGCACTTTTTAAGCGCCGGAGTACAATTATGGAATTTTTAAGCATTTTATGGAATCTGGTTAACACAGATATCCTGTCGTCGTTACAAAATACTTCAAGATTTTTTTGGAAGCAATCCAAGAATTAAGTTTCGAGATTTCTCGTTTTTGTTTGAACACCTCAGTTTGCTTCTGTAGCGTACACTACAGGCAATGAAACTTACCGTCGGGTTGTAACCTTAAGCTTTGGGGGGGGTGGGCCGAAGGCAACACTTGAGAGTCACAGGCTCAGAGCCAATCATTTGAACGCACACGCACACAAATAAACAATAAAACGTTGTGGAGTTATGTCATTTGCCCTACAGTCAAACATCATTTAAAAATAGAAATGTGTGTGTACCACCTGACCTATCTTTAGTGCCAGGAAAGAGAAAAACACTCCTGTCAAAATATTCAGCCTCGGTGGTTTTCCACTAATTAATACACTTGCATTTTTGTTACAGTGCCTACCGGCACAGTTAAAGATAAAACGTAACATTGCATAATTCTGTATTCATGTCAATTAGGCTTAAGGAATTATGGATAACATACAGGGATGCTGCAGCATCCTAATGTAATAAGACTCCGAATGTTAACATACCATGTGTTAATCCACAAGGTACTATGCATTTTCTTTGGTAAAATGTTAACATAGTGAATTTAATCCTCATTTTTGCTAATACAGGATATCTTGTGGTGTAGCATCCCAGTCTCTGGGCCAGAAGCTCCAGGCTTCAGTCCCACCCTAGAACTGGAGCTTGATGGGCATGGAAGATGTGCACATAACATGGTGGAACAGATTGAACATGAGTCTGTAAATATTTACAATGTATAACAGCCAGTAAGAGTGGGAATAATCCCTGATCAGCCTTGTAATGGAAAGGACATTGAGGCTCCCCATCACTATCCACATTTCTAGACCACAACATGCACATAAAAAGTACATGTTGCCAGAGCAACTTGGATTCCCTGAATGAACTGTAACTTATCACCAGAGGATATATCAACATTTCAAAAGCAATCTGCAAGGATAAACACAACTCACATTTTAGTTATTCTGAGGACTGGCATTCTTTTGGTCTAAAATAGTATAAAAACTCTAGGTGCCACAGACTGATTTGACTGAGTATTAAGGCAACTAAATAATATTATGGACATATTTAGAATATATTGCCACCTGAGCCTTCATTCGTCCTCATCTTCCCACAACTCATTCCAACATGTTCTTGTTTTTGTGACATATTTACCATTTAATCATCTTTCCCTTTTGAAGCTCCTTAGTCTGTTGGGTTCCATAGCACAAAAAGTGGCTCAAGGACATGGGAAACATGAAAGGATGTACAATAGCTGATTAACTCAAATGGCCCATTTATTGAAGAAAAACCCAATCAAATCCATTTTAATAAATAGAGTTCATAGTTTATTCGCATGTGCCAAACTTTTCAATCAAATTCACTGTGTAAATGTAATTTGCTAAGGAGGATGAAATGGTATTGATAGTAATAAGTAGATACCCAATTCTCTAATATGAAATTCCTGTACCTACTATTTTAACTATTATTAATTTAACATGTTAACATCTATATATTAAATGTGTTTCTATTATCAGCAACATTTACTAATGGGCTAAACATTTTAATTGATGGAACTATAACAAATAAACTACCATCGCTTTTATGAAAAGCAATCATATTCCTAAAGCAAAGAGAGATCCTTTGGATGACCATTTTGATTCCTGACCAACACTCTCCTCATCAGTTTACAAATCAAAACAGATGTTGAAAGAAGTTTCTAAAACTGAGCTTTATGTTTATCCATGCCATCATATGAATGCCTTTGACAAGTACCCCATTTGTGGATTTCCCGTTCTCCCAGCCTGATGGGTTAGCTTTTTCTCTGTTGTTGAAACTAGAATGTGTTCCCCAGAGTGTTCTTATAATCTTTTGGAAAATCAAGCTGTACTTTTATATTGTTTTTCCATTGTATGTACACAAGTGTTTTCTTCCTCACAGTATTATACTTTCTGGTTGCTGTGTGTGTGAGCAAAGTGCAATGTCTGGTAATGTAATGGTTATGTCACTGAAGTAATATTGATAGTATTAATAATATAAATAATATAAAAGTTGAGTTCAAATACCACAATCCTATATCATAAAATTTAAATCCATTTAATCTGAAAATTTATAATCACATCAGAACGTGACTGAACATTAATGAATCATTGTTCTAAAGCTCGAACTGGATTGCTAATCATAGAGTCATACAGATGTACAGCAAAGAACACAGACCCTTTGGTCCAACTCGTCCATGCCGATTAGCTATTCTAGATTAATCTTGTCCCATTTGCCAGCATTTGGCCCATATCCCTCTAAACCCTTCCTACTCATTTACCTCATCCAGATGCCTTTTAAATATTGTAATTGTACCAGTCTCACCACCTCCTTTGGCAGCTCATTTTATACACGCACCACCCTTTGCGTGGAAAATGTTGCTGCTTGGGTTCCTTTTAGATCTTTCCCCTCTCACCTTAAACCTATCCCCTCTAGTTTTGGACTCCTCTACCTGGGCAAAAGCCCTTGAATATTCACCTTCTGCATGCCCCTCATGATTTTATAAACTTCTGTAAGATCACTCTGAGCCTCTGACACTTCAGGGAAAATAGCTGCAACCTATTCAGCCTCTCCCTGTAGCTCCAACCCTCCAACCCTGACAACATGCATGTAAATCTTATCAGAACCCTTACAAGTTTCACAACATCTTTCCTATAGCAGGGAGACCAGAATTGAACGCAATATTCCAAAAGTGGCCTCACCAATGTCCTGTACAGCTGCAAAATGACCTCCCAACTCCTATACTCAATACCCCGACAAATAAAGACAAATGTACCAAATGCCTTCTTCAGTTCTGAGGAAGAGTCTCTCGATCTGAAATGTTAACTGTGATTTTTTCCACAGTTGCTGCCAGACATGTTGAGCTTTTCCCAATTTCTGTTTTTGTGCCTTCTTCTTTTCCCTGTCTACCTGTGACTCTGCTTTCGAGGAACTACGTACCTGCACCCCAAGATCTATTTGTTCGGCAACACTCCTCAGAACCTTACCATTGAGTATATAAGTCCTGCCCTAATTTGCCCTACCAAAATGCAACACCTCACATTTATCTAAATTAAACTGCATCTGCCACTCCTCAGCCCATTTGCCCATCTAATTAAGGCCCCGTTGTACTCAGAGGTACCCTTCTTTGCTGACCACTACACCACCAATTTTGGTATTATCTGCAGACTTACCAACAATACCTCCCTGTATTCACATCATTGAACAAGAAAAGAAAGGCATCAGGACTGCAAATGCATTTGATACTAGTCTGAGTATTGAAGTAATACTACACTGTCAGATGTTAGGGGCCATTGAGAAGTCGGGGAAACTACATTAGCCGTTGAGAGCAAGTTTACTATTCAGGATAGCCAGGGGCACAACAAATAGAGGAAAAAGACTTCTGGTTTAAAGTGCATTTATTTCAACGCACGAGCTCTTACTGGTAAGGCAGATGAGCTCAGAGCATGGATTGGCTCTGGAAACTGGAATATTATCGCCATAACAGAAACATGGCTGAGAGAAGGGCAGGACTGGCAGCTCAATGTTCCAGGATACAGAAGCTACAGGCATGACAGAAGTACAAGTAAGCGAGGAGGGGGAGTTGCCCTTTTGATAAGGGAAGACATAACAACAGTGCTTAGAGAGGATATTCTTATGGGGTCATTAAATGAGGCCGTACGGTCAGAACTTAGAAACAAGAAGGCGATGGTCACTCTGTTGGGACTGTATTGTAGACCCC